GGATATTTTTCATGCCCGGGGTACCCCGAGCGGCACCCCACCCCGGGCAGGGTGCCCGCGCGCCCCGGGAAAGCTAGTAGTACGGTAAGTACGGTCTTATCTCTCTTTTGTGATAGCATCCTTTTTTGTTGACAACAAGATCTAAGAAACCTTTTTTGCTTTTTCCGAAGATAGGATAGGATAGGATATGATTCGATACAGAATAGCCTGGCCACGGACGAAACAGGAGGCAGATGGGACCTAGGGTTTCGGGTTCTAGGGCGCACTTAGCACACCAGGGTCAGGATTTAAACCACCAGTACATGCCAGCAATTGGCTGCAGGGCCCTTTCGGAGGCCGCCCACCGTTGATTTACTTTATCAATGGCGTGTGAGCCTCCTAAATTTTAGGAGAGGCTCAATTGGACTCTCAACTTGGCTGGGGCCATGTACTGGCGCTTTAAGGACAGCAAAACGCAGCTGACCACAGGAGGGCGTTCTCAGCTGTTAACCCCTCAGGGTTTCCAGAGGGGCTAGGGCCGTATGGCACTACGGTAGTAGTGGTGAGGGGGCCATTTTGGACCGGTGGCATAGGAGCACCAGGCCTGATTAGGCAGGGGTGAGGGGTGGTATATCCTTCCCGAGAGAAGCACTTGGACCTCCCAGCCATAATGGGGATGGGAGTTGCATGGGTATGTTTTGTATTGTGTTTTGACTTACCGGTGGAAAAGGAACCGGACTGCTGCTCCCCAGAATAGAAGAAGCCATGGTATACACATATGAAAAGAAAAGGATACAGTTGGATACGATACAATATGATGCGATACGATACGATAGGATACGATACGATACAATACAATATGATGCGATATGATACGATACGAAGAGAAGAGAGAGAGAGAGAGAGAGAGAGAGAGAGAGAGAGAGAGAGAGAGAGAGAGAGAGAGAGAGAGAGAGAGAGAGAGAGAGAGAGAAGACAAAGACAAAGACAAAGATAGATAAGATAAGATATCATATGATACGCTAAGAGAAAGAGAAAGACAAAGAGAGAAAAAAAATCAAAAACAGATTAGAATATATCAGATAAGATAAGAAAAGATCAGATAGATAAGATTAAAAAACATAAGATAACGTAAGATAAGATAGATAAGATAAGATAATGATGGCAAGCAAGCTAACAGTCACAAACCTCTTTGAACATGGCAGTGGGTGGTGCAAATATGATTCCTGCCTCCATCAATCCTGCAATCTCCTAGCCAAGGAGTTCCCTTCTCCTTCACAAAACAATAACCTTGTTTGTCCAATCCTGGAAGTATTCCATCTCCCTTCACCCTGCATCATCAAAGCCAATGATGCATCCTTTATGAGCATCTAACAACAACCCAACACCTTGCAAAACAATTTACCGCCTGTTAACTTGTGGTTAACTTGTCTTGAAGGTGTTTTACAGCAGATTCATGGTGAAGAACAAGGAACTATCCTCCTATGCTTGTGAGGAAGCTTAGGAAAGACACATCTCAGAATTAGAAGTGGAATATAAATATGCATGTGTTCCTTACTTCAGCATAAAGCATCCTTGTACATATTCAGTATTATTCACTAATAATCTTCGCTTTCGTTAGTTCGGCCTTTGTTGGGTTTTGTGCATGAGTGTGTTGAGCACACAGTCGACACAAAGCTTTACACACTGATTGAGCTTTTAGCCTGCCATTGGGTGGAAAGGATTCGCAATCATGCTCACTCTGATCCTACCACTGGGGGAGGGTAAATAGTAAATAGTAAATAGTAAATAGTAAATAGTAAAATAGTAAATAGTTACCCTTAGTCATAACTACATATTCAACCTCAAAGACTTATGTATTATTTATAAAAGAATATACACATAATACTTATATATAAACTTCTGATGAGTCAGTGAAACTCCAAAACAGTTTGTCACAGTTTCTCGTTTGTTGTCCTCTTCTCCCTCTCTGCCTACGGTGGTTTATCGGGCAGCTCGGTCTGAGAATATATTATGTCTACCAGGGTTGCATAGCCCCCGACCGCCTAACCCGACCGCCAACCGTTTTGCAGCCTACCGGCGGGGCCGACTGGTCGTCGGTCTGCCAACCAGTTAGTAAACAGCCATCCACTGATTTTTCATTCAATCCGTAAATGGGGGGAGGTACGCCCAAATCCACTGAAAAACTCTTGGGGATGGGGGGAGGTACGAGTGGGTTATGAAGGGGGTTATGGGGAGTGTAGGGGGGGCACGAGGGGGTATAGGGGTGTGGGGAGAGAGGGTACGAGGGTGTTGGGGAGCGGTTTAGGTGTGTTTGGGGGGTGTTGGGAGGGGGGTATGGAGGTGTTGGTGGGGTTATTGGGGGTTATGGAATCCCAAAAAATATAATAATATATATCGTCAAATAGAATATATATATCGACGAAACAGTTTGTCACAGCCCCTCGTTTGCTGTCCTCTTCTCCCTCTCTGCCTAAGGTTTACCAGGCAGCTCTGTTTGACGATATATATTGTCACAGAGCTATTGACTAAGAGCGTAAGCACATGAAGTAGAAGAAGAAATAAGATGAGCGAAGAAAAGAAAAATGAAAGGACAGACAGGCAAAGAGACAGACAAATTAGAATGACACAAAACAGTGTCCTCTTATTCTTTGTTTCACTGTATTCTTATTTCTTTCAGTGTTTTACAAAAAAAATACACTGAACAAAGGATAAAAATAAAAAACAAAGACACATTGAAATCATTCAGTTTCTCAGTCTTCTTAACGCCTCCTCCACCGTGCCTCTAACGTACAAGGCTCGCCACGTTGATGAAGTTGAGCGCGAGCTGCCCCCATCCCCATATGCCATAACAGCCCACTTGCACACTATGGGAAAGAGACAGAGTGAAGGAAGAGGTGTTAAACACAAGGAAGAGAGGAGCAGAAAAGGAAAACAGATAGGCAGAGGGAGGGGGGGGGGGGAAAGGTGACACAAACATCTTCTTTCTTTTTTTCAGCGCACCTGCACTTCCTTCTTCATTTTTCGTTCTCATTTTCACCGTTCGGACTTTTCCTTTGACGGTGTTAGGGTGCAGGGTACAAACAATGTAAAATGACACAAACTTATGTTCTTCTTTTACTGCATTCTTCATTGTTTTGCAGTTTTAGTGAAGGGTTTCCCACCTTTGCACAGTCTTGTACACTCTTTTCAGCGCACCTGCACATTTTTGTCAAGCTGCAAGGTACGTCCAAGTAAGAACCTCACGACAGATAGGACAACTGTCCTAAGGACGCGGGCGATGGTAGCAGCTCTCCCACTGATCTACAGGACGAAAACCATTCAGGTAAGCAACTTCGTCACAGCAGGAGCGAGGGCGGCTAGCATCAACCATACCTCTGAAGCATGCACGGCAGAGGGCATGCCGGTTGCAGGCCATGGCGACTGTGGGGCGTTCACCATCATAGTTAAGTGCACATTCGCTATAGCGCCTGCAGGCACAGATGGGACATACTGCATCTCGATGTAGAGGATGTTCACAATCCGGATACAGGTGGCATCCCTGCCGACAGCGGGCCCGAAAAATTATACGGTTGTAGTGATGTCGACAAAGTCGATGCTTTCCACAACCAAGTGTTCATGTGTCAGTGATCTCACAAAGAAGGAGGTCACAAGGTGTTAGTGCAACATGCGGGGGAATGAAGACTAAAGCAGGCACGGTGACAAACATGGAGGTAGGCACGGAGACAGACACAGAAACAGGCATGGAGATAGGTGCGGAGGCGGGCACAGAGACAGGTGCACAGGCAGGGACGGAAGTACACGAGGTACCCATAGGGTCAGTAATCTGAAAGGAGACAGACACAGAAACAGGCACAGAGACAGGTACGGAGGCAGGCACAGAGATAGGCGTACAGGCGGGCATGGAAGTACACGAGGTACCCATAGGGTCAATGACCTGGAACAATTGCAAGTTAGGGTAATTACGCACGAGATCACAGATGGTACAATAGTTTGCACCATAGCACCCCCATTCCATAATTCCCAAGAACCAGAGGCACGGACAAGAGCGGTGTAGTCACCAGGAGCATGTAGAATATAGGTACAAATGTGCGAAGAGTGGTCCGGGTTGCCACCCGAAGGGCCACGCTGCTTATCAAGTCGGCGCCTTATCAAAGCAGTCTCCAAAACAGAGACATTAAATCCCTTATGTCGAGTGTAATTACTATCCTGCGGGGGAATGAAGAGTCTGGCTATCGCCATATAACTGACGTTCCTGAGCATCAAGATCGGAAGCAATGGCCAAGAAATCAGAGTGAGTATATGGTTCGCAACGATAGGCTTGTAGGCAGATGTTAGTAGCAGCGAGGCCACACAAATTTGGTGGAGGTCGGTCAGGCGGATTTTCTGCAGAATCTCCTACATTCCCCTTGCCAAGTTCATCCTCGGATGGTCCCTCGCCATCATCCCTCCTATTTTGTGTTTGTCGCATTGCAGAAATGTCTGTAGTCGAAGAGCGTCGCAGGCGTGGTAAGGATGCTTGGGGCAGCAAAAGACGGGGACGAGATGTTGGGGAGGGCCGTGGTGGGGAGAATGGACAGGTTCTTCTTCGTCCAAAAACAGAGATGGAGGAAAGGGGAATACTCAAACCTAGTAAGCTGGCATGTAAAGACTCTCGCCGGCTGGTGTGCAAGGACGTTAGACGTAGCACTAGGATAACGAATAACAAGGAAATTTCATTCAACTGCTTTGTCAAAGACACTCATACGCAGGGAACCGTCAGGGAAGACTTGGAGGCGTGCACCCAAAAATGTGCAAGAGCCATCAGGCGTTGTGGTCTCCTTCCATTCGAGGCCACAATGCTCTGACGGTGATGGCAGATGTCCCCATGAGAGAACATCATCGATCAAGCGGTATGTGAACGCATACCGTTTAGCTGCGCGAAGATCACACTGCTGGAGGTCATCAACAAATCAAGCCTCATCCCAATACAACGTCAAATTAGCTATCTCCGGACCAGAATTAGTCCCCATCGGGATGCCAATCAGATGATGTCGGAAGGTGTCATCCGCTGCATAAAGATACGTGTTTGTGACAATGAAATGGAGATGTTCAAGAATTTGGAAAGCGGTCAAGGTGTTCGGTCCCGTATCAACTGTCCACTCCCCTTGACGGGGCCCTTTAACAATCATGTTAAGGGTAGGAGGACATGTGTCCATGTGTGTGCTGTTGTAAGCCTATATGCTTCCTCAACCGCTTTTGATACATTATGACAAATACGGTCATGAGGAAGATTGGCATACATAGTTGTGAAATCAACAGTGCGAGGAGCATGGTCACGAAGAGAAGATGAATTATGTTTGCGATCAAGCATCACCTCCTCATCGTTTTGCACGATCCAGCATCGTCTCACACCCCTTTGCTTATACAACAGATTATCCTTCTCGCGGAGAGTTTCAATGACTCCTTGTACTGTAACGTTGAGGCGGGCAGAAGCGGCGGTAGTACTGGGCAAGGGTTTGTGGGGAGGTCGATGGTGGACTGCATGAACAGATGGCGCAGTTGATCGAGATCGCGGCAGGGAGAGATTATTATGGTTTGTGACGCCGACAATACTACGAAGCCCAGGGGGCGATTTGTGCGCCTTAAGTGCATAGTACAAATATGGCAGTGTGCCTTTGTGTGTATATCCCCACCAATGATTCCAAAGTGTGTGACGTTCGAGAATATCTGTGACAGAGTTAAGAGGCACAGCATAGGTAGGGTTGTCCAAATGAGCAGATAGATGAGACAACTACCAATTTTTACAACAGATTGCCAACTTATGTGAGGTCTTGTCGACAAGAACAATAGCGAAGTGTTGTTGAAGGTGTCTCAAAGCCCTGTGCACTGAATGAAGGGAGTGTCGTTGTCATGTGGTAGTGGGGGGGGATGAGATGTTGCTTTGGCAACGTGTGAGAACGGTTGAGCGCCACTGCTGCAATTTGTTCAGATGTCTCTGTTTTGGAGACTGCTTTGATAAGGCGCCGGCTTGATATGCAGCATTCCCCTTCGGGTGGCGACCCAGACCACTGTTCGCACGTTTGTGCCTATATTCTACATGCTCCTGGCCACTACACCGCTCTTGTTCGTGCCTCTGGTTCTTGGGAATTATGGAATGGCAGTGCTATGGTGCAAACTATTACTGCCACATGTGATCTCGTGCGTAATTACCCTAACCTGCAACTGTTCCAGGTCATTGACCCTATGGGTACCTCGTATATGTATATATATATCGTCACATGAATATCGGAGCGCAAAGACGAAAAAAAAAGAAGAAAAGAAGAAAAAAATAATTCGTGTTTTTTATCTT